ACGCTTATTTGTGCATCGATTTTGTACTAATTCAATGTCGGATGGTGATTAAGTCATCGGCATTATATACAAAGAATATCCCGCAACATTTTTGTTGCACAGAAAAATTTATATTTATATAAAAGCTGTTGGAAAACCGCAAAAAGAGTACCAAAATGTGTGTGTGTTGGTGGTGGTGTGTGGTGGTAGCGTTGTGTGTGTAATACCAGGATGAGAAAATTTGCAAAACTTTTTGGGTATGTGCTCGTATAGGCTTGATCATTAGGAGCTATAAACGGCTATGTACATGTCTACAGAGGCGTCAATAGCGTAAGCCGGTAAAACCTAGGAATACGCAGCAAGCTACTAGTTGATCTTTAATTATCGGCTGGTCGATCGTCGGATGTAAGACACTCTGGGATGAAGCAGCTCATTGGATCTTGGATCTACGAGCTCTGATAGAAATGTATTCAGCTTCAAGCGTTCACGTGATATCATCGTCAACGGTACATGCGCATTGGATATGATTCATGAAATGCTTGAATTCCGATTCCCAATCGCGAGTGACTAGCAAGCGTGACTCATTCTCGCATGGTCGGTTTAGTGCGCTAGAATACCTGAATAAGTAAATACAAACAGGTAAAAGCATAACATAACGAATTAGAATTGTTTAGTAAATGCATGCCGAAACAAGATTATGGGACTAAGGCATCATAAACATGGAGGCGTAACAAGAGTGAGAGATAAGGGAAGAGGAGAAGATAGCGAAAAGGGAAATGGGAAGAGAGGAATGGAGATGTTGGGAGATTAGAGAAAGAGACTGTGAAGGTGTAAGAAGGAATTAGAAAGTAAGTGTGAGGCAGATTTCATGGAAATAGAAGTAGGAGAGGGGGTGAAGGGAGGCAGTGAATGTTAGGCGTGTATAGACAGAATAAGGCGAGGTGGTAGAAGGTATTGGTGAAAGAAGGTAGTAAGAATATAGTACGGAAAAATAGGATGTATCTTTTCATCAAATTTTAGGTAAATTTAAGCGTAATAAGGAGATGAGTTAATTTAAAAATGCAGCAGTGAGAAATTGAGTTGATCTATATATAGGATATTTCTTTTAATGTTTATGGTGCTAACAAAAATATAACGTTGATGGGTTCAAAAAAACGGCTATTTTGTGCCATCAGCGATCTTGGTATATCATGATTGTTCAAGGTCGCCTATGAAACAAAAGGTCAATCATTCTTGGCATAAGCTAAATTTTATTATTCTATATAGAAGCTGATGCTAAAACTCAGAAAACCGAAAATGTGTGTTGTGTGTGTGTGTGTGTGTGTGTGTGATAGAATAAGCATGCAAAACTCTGTTATGTGTAGGTATGTTGATTGAGTGCTAAAGGTATTAGGGCACACAAGTAATAACTGAACCTAAAAGCTTAAGATTGATTACGCCCGAAAGCTATAGTTGATCTTTATAAGATGCGGCTGCGGATGTTGTAAAGCTTGTCGATGAAAAAGCTTTGATCTTGGATGGTGCGTGTAGAGCCGTTAAAGTATGTAGTTGCTGGTCACTTGCACTAATATTTCGCGTCCAACATGGAGTCTCGCATTTGGATTATCGATCAATGAATGCTTGATTCCATGGCCCTAAAAGAAGGCTCAACGCTCGCGTCGTCTCGCGCAGGCCCTGTCCGGCGCCCTCTGTGTCAAGTGTTTGTGTGGACCCCCTGGGTGTCATGTGTTTGTGCTCAGAATACGCTGTAATAATGCAACTACAAACAGTAAAAAGGCAAAGCAACGCATTGAGGAATTGTTTGTGGTAATCATGGGCAAACAAGATAGGGAGCTCTAGGCTCATTAAACATGAAGGGCGAACAGAGAGTAGGTCTAGAGGAAAGAGAATGGTAGGAGAGAAAGGAAAAGGGAATGGGAGAGAGGAGGAGATGTTGGGGATTTAGAGAAAGAGATTGAAGGTGAAGAAGGAAATTAGAAAGTAAGTGTGACGATTCATGAAATAAAGTAGGAGAGGGGGTGAGGGAGGAGTGAATGTTAGGGTATAGAAAGAATAAGCGAGTGGAGAAGATGGTGAAAAGAAGGAGTAAGAATATAGTGGAAAAATAGGATGTTTCTTCACAAATTTTAGAAATTTAGGAAAAGGAGATGAGTTAATTTAAAAATCACGAGAAATTGAGTGATCTATATATAATATTTCTTTAATGTTTTGCTAAAAAATAACGTTGATGGTCAAAAAAACCTATTTGTCATCGATTTGTATATCATGATTGTTAAGTCCATAAACAAAAAACTCAACATTTTCCACAATTTATATTTAATAAACTTGAAAACCAAAACCAAAATGTGTGTGTGTGTGTGTGTGTGTGTGTGTATAAAAAAATCAAAACTTGTATGTGTGTATGTGATTGAGCTTAAAGTATTACAAACGCAGTATAAACCTAAAACTAAATTACCCAAGCTATATTGATCTTTAATATGGCTCGACTTGGTAAACTTGGATGAAGCTTGATCTTGGATTAGACTTAAAATGTATTGCTTCACTTCACTATTTCGTCAACCTCCATTGGATATGATCATGAATGCTTGATTCCATCCAACCTCCAACTCATTGTTTGTCTAGAATACCTAATAAGAAATACAAACAGTAAACAAACAACATTAGGAATTGTTTGTAATCATCAAAACAAGATTAGGGACTAGGCTCATAACATGAGGCGAACAAGAGTGAGAGAAAGGAAGAGGAGAAGAAGGAAAAGGGAATGGGAGAGAGGAGGAGATGTTGGGGATTTAGAGAAAGAGATTGAAGGTGAAGAAGAGAAATTAGAAAGTAAGTGTGACGATTCATGAAATAAAGTAGGAGAGGGGGTGAGGGAGGAGTGAATGTTAGGGTATAGAAAGAATAAAGAGAGTGGAGAAGATGGTGAAAAGAAGGAGTAAGAATATAGTGGAAAAATAGGATGTTTCTTCACAAATTTTAGAAATTTAGGAAAAGGAGATGAGTTAATTTAAAAATCACGAGAAATTGAGTGATCTATATATAATATTCTTTAATGTTTTGCTAAAAAATAACGTTGATGGTCAAAAAAAACCTATTTGTCATCGATTTGTATATCATGATTGTTAAGTCCATAAACAAAAACTCAACATTTTCACAAATTTATATTTATATAAACTTGAAAACCAAAAACCAAAATGTGTGTGTGTGTGTGTGTGTGGTGTGTGTATAAAAAAATCAAAACTTGTATGTGTGTATGTGATTGAGCTTAAAGTATTACACACAAGTATAAACCTAAAACTAAATTACCCAAGCTATATTGATCTTTAATATGGCTCGACTTGGTAAACTTGGATGAAGCTTGATCTTGGATCTAGACTTAAATGTATTGCTTCACTTCACTATTTCGTCAACCTCCATTGGATATGATCATGAATGCTTGATTCCATCCAACCTCCAACTCATTGTTTGTCTAGAATACCTAATAGAGAATACAAACAGTAAACAAACAACATTAGGAATTGTTTGTAATCATCAACAAGATTAGGGACTAGGCTCATAAACATGAGGCGAACAGAGTGAGAGAAAGGAAGAGGAGAAAGAAGGAAAAGGGAATGGGAGAGAGGAGGAGATGTTGGGAGATTTAGAGAAAGAGATTGAAGGTGAAGAAGGAAATTAGAAAGTAAGTGTGACGATTCATGAAATAAAGTAGGAGAGGGGGTGAGGGAGGAGTGAATGTTAGGGTATAGAAAGAATAAGCGAGTGGAGAAGATGGTGAAAAGAAGGAGTAAGAATATAGTGGAAAAATAGGATGTTTCTTCACAAATTTTAGAAATTTAGGAAAAGGAGATGAGTTAATTTAAAAATCACGAGAAATTGAGTGATCTATATATAATATTTCTTTATGTTTTGCTAAAAAATAACGTTGATGGTCAAAAAAACCTATTTGTCATCGATTTGTATATCATGATTGTTAAGTCCATAAACAAAAAACTCAACATTTTCACAAATTTATATTTATATAAACTTGAAAACCAAAAACCAAAATGTGTGTGTGTGGTGTGTGTGTGTGTGTGTGTATAAAAAAATCAAAACTTGTATGTGTGTATGTGATTGAGTTAAAGTATTACACACAAGTATAAACCTAAAACTAAATTACCCAAGCTATATTGATCTTTAATATGGCTCGACTTGGTAAACTTGGATGAAGCTTGATCTTGGATCTAGACTTAAAATGTATTGCTTCACTTCACTATTTCGTCAACCTCCATTGGATATGATCATGAATGCTTGATTCCATCCAACCTCCAACTCATTGTTTGTCTAGATACCTAATAAGAAATACAAACAGTAAAAAACAACATTAGGAATTGTTTGTAATCATCAAAACAAGATTAGGGACTAGGCTCATAAACATGAGGCGAACAAGAGTGAGAGAAAGGAAGAGGAGAAGAAGGAAAAGGGAATGGGAGAGAGGAGGAGATGTTGGGGATTTAGAGAAAGAGATTGAAGGTGAAGAAGGAAATTAGAAAGTAAGTGTGACGATTCATGAAATAAAGTAGGAGAGGGGGTGAGGGAGGAGTGAATGTTAGGGTATAGAAAGAATAAGCGAGTGGAGAAGATGGTGAAAAGAAGGAGTAAGAATATAGTGGAAAAATAGGATGTTTCTTCACAAATTTTAGAAATTTAGGAAAAGGAGATGAGTTAATTTAAAATCTCACGAGAAATTGAGTGATCTATATATAATATTTCTTTAATGTTTTGCTAAAAAAATAACGTTGATGGTCAAAAAAACCTATTTGTCTCGAGATTTGTTACTTTTAGGTTTAAATTACCGTCGGATGCAAATTTTAGACCAAAATTAATAAAGGAGCTATCACTATTTAGGTAAATCTGATATTTTAGCTTCTTGGGTGTGACAACTGTAAAAATATCTCCTTTGTAACTTTACGGGGCTTTCTTATAACCCATAAAATTGGGTGGTCCCGATCGCCAATTTTAAAAAACTATATTAAAGACACAAATCTCTTTTCTTCTTTCCCTGTATGATATTGGTCAAATTATTTCCGGTTTATATGGCCAGATTGGCGTCCTTGCTTTCCGAGTTTGATACAGGTCTAACTTATTGGGACCCACTGGGCCTTTGCTTCCGATCAAAGCTTTGGATTCTCCCACCACCCTCTCTTCCTTACAAGCACCAAAGCAACGGCAATTTCTCCCGCTTCCCAACACAAAGAACCCGTCCTATTATTTACACACCCAACGCTCTTTTCTTTTTATTTCCTTTCTCCATCATCTCGTTAACTTCACCTCCGCCACCTCTCCCAATTGACAACAAAAACCCTCAAGTAGGTCAAAAGCCGTTTCCTTGCTCTCTCTCTCCCCCTTTCTTTTGTCCCTCAACGCCAATGACGTGACCCACCCCTTAATTATACTCCCTTCATTCGTTCCGTTTCTTTTAAAACCCCACACGCCTCATCCCTTCATTCCACATTCCCCCCCACCCCACTCACTACCCTCGACCCCACAAAAATGTCTTCCTCCCCCAAACTCCTCTCCCTCCTCTTCTCTCCCTCTTCTCCTCGTCCCTCTCCCGTGACATCCGCCGCGGAGCACGGATCCGCCACCCTCGACGTCTCCTCCTCCTTGTCTAAGACCACCCGCCTCTTCGCCGGACTACTTCCCACCCCCTCCTCGACACCGAAGAAGAGGCGAGTCGGCGAGGACGCCGGCGGTGACCGCACCGCTCTCTCTCTCCGGCTGCATTCCCGGGACTTCCTCCCTCCGCCAACGTCTCCGGCCACGGCGACTACAAAACCCTACCCTGGCCGCCTCCGCCGCGACCGGAGCCCGCGCCGCGGCCATCTCCGCCCGCGCGCCTCGCCCTCTCCGGCGTCAGGAAGTCCGATCTGATCCGCTGGGATCCGCCGACGAGTTCTGGCCGTCGGTTCCGACGGCGGCGCCCTCGCAGCCCCGTCGTCTCCGGGTCGAGCCAGGGCAGCGGCGAGTACTTCGGCCGCGTCAGCGTCGGCTCCCCGCCGCGGGCGATGTACCTCGTTCTCGACACCGGGAGCGACGTCACCTGGATACAGTGCGCGCCCTGCAGCGACTGCTACCAGCAGGCCGACCCGATCTACGATCCGTCACAGTCCTCCACCCTACTCCCCGATCACGTGCGGCTGGCCCCTCTTGCGGCTCCCTCGACGTCTCCGCTTGCCGGAACGGCACGTGCCTCTACCAGGTCTCGTACGGCGACGGGTCCTACACGGTGGGCGATTTTCGGATCCGAGGCCGTTACTTCGACGGATCCGACTCCGTCTCCAACGTCGCGTTCGGATGCGGCCACGACAACGAGGGGCTCTTCGGTCGGCCGCGCGGGGCTCCTCGGCCTCGGCGGCGGGAGCCTGTCGTTCCCGAACCAGATCCAGGCCAAGTCCTTCTCCTACTGCCTCGTCGACCGGACTCACCGAGCTCTTCGACGCTCGATTTCGGGTCGGATCTCCTGGACCCGGGCCTCGTCTCCGCCCCGCTTCTGAAAAACCGCAAGCTCGACACTTCTACTACGTGAGCATGAGCGGGATCAGCGTCGCGGCCGAGATGCTCTCCGTACCCCGTCGGCGTTCGAGATGGACCGCCGCCGAGCGCGGCATCATCGTCGACTCCGCACACGCCGTCACCAGGCTCCAAACCGACGTCACAAACTCCCTACGAGACGCGTTCGTGAAGGGGACGTGGAGCCTGACGAAGGCGGAGGGGTTGCGCTCTTCGATACCTGCTACGATCTCTCGAAGAGGACGAGCGTCCGAGGTCCGACGGTTTCGTTCCATTTCGGGAGGGCAAGGAGCTGAAGGCTCCGGCGAAGAATTACCTGATTCCGGGACATCGGCGGGGCGAATTCTGCTTCGCGTTCGAGCCGACGAGCTCGCCGCTGTCGATCATCGCAACGTGCAGCAGCAGGGCACGAGGGTGGCTTTGATCTGCAGAACTCTCGGTGTGGGGTTTACCGCCATAAGTGCTAGGGAAGTGGGGTGGTTGAGAGAGTGTCGGCGGGTAGGTGGGTGGAACTGATAGTGGGGTAGGGTGGGTGGGTGGGTGGGTGGGTAGAGACGAAGGTGGGTGTATACTGGATATTTATGAGGGTTCTCGCTGCGGGAATGGTTAAAAAAAAAAAAGTTGTATGTGGTATCACCTTGGGGTCGTTGTTTTTTTTTCTGGTTGCGAAGCGTGCGAGCAGTTAGAGCGCAATAATGCCGATCTTCATATGTTTATATAAATATCTAGACTCTACATAAATAGCAAGGAAAATTTTACGAAGCTCCTTTATGGTTTTTAGAAATAACATAACATTTCTATGATACTTTAAAAGCGCATTTTACCATTCTTATCTTGAAATATGTTATAGTGACGACCTTCAAAATTGATAATCCTATGTTTGTTAATATGAAAGCCCAATTAATCGATGAGCATCGTGTGATTATAGCTTTCGATGCGGGTCAAAATTCGTCAACTTAGGTATGATATGAAAGCTTATCGCCAGGTTGGTTATATTTTGTTGCTTCGAGGAGTGACTTCTAGATATGAAATCTATATCTAAAATGCAATTAAGTATTAGAACTCATAGGCGGCGGCCGTTTAAGGCGTTCATAGCCTAATTTCAATGCTTATGTGGCGTCTGTCAGTGACGTGGCACTGGAAAAGATCAAGGAAGTGTGCCTTTTAACTAATCCTAATTTTTCAAATTCCTCTTTTTCGCAGAGCGAGAGATGGATGAGCAAAGAGGGGAACAAGTGCAGGGAGATGGAGGGAGCAGCTGCGAGATTCCCTGACGTTGGGTTGATTCGATCCAAATATTATTCCACCCCCTGCTATCGGACCTTGAATAGGAGCTTGAGCTTGAAAAGATACACCGTCCTTGGTTCAACTCCGACCTTAGGCCCCGTTTGATAAAGGGTTAATGAAGAAGGATTAATGTACTTAGCCTATTTAAAATCCGAATGACTAAATTATTAACCCGTTAAATAAGTTTTATTTTAGTCCTTATGATCAATTTTAGTGTTTGGGTACAATGATTTTGACTATTTTCTTTATAATTAGAAGGGTTAACTCTTATTTCATATAAATAGGAGTATTAGTAAACCTCTTATTTTGATGGGTTGACTTATTTTAACCCTTCTAGAGTGGTTAACTTAACCCTTCTATATTTTTTATGTTTAACAAATTATGGAGGGTTAACCCACTTTAACCATTATATAAATTTGTTGTGTTTGACAGGTTAAGAAGGGATTAAGTCTCATTAATCTCTCACTTAACCCTTTGCAAAATGGTACCTTAGAGATTTTTAGTTGCTCGGTGCTACGTTGTCGCTCATCAATTGAGCCCAAAATTTGCCACAAAATTTGAATTTTTGAGCCCCAGTTATAAAGATCCTGACAACCATATTATTAATTTTGTCACATCAGCGATTAAAAAAATTTTAAATACCTATTTGGTATATAGGAGGTGGTACTTATTTTTATTGTTTTTTATTATTTGGTTTGTGGAAAGCAGCAGAATTGCTCTGATCACATTGGCTGTAATAGTTTTTACAATTTTTTTTTTTAAAATTGAAGTGTTGCTTAACCATCTAAGCTACAAGTATGGTAGACAAACATTGCAATTATGAATATGTCTGTATTTACTTTTACATTCTATTTTTTTGTCAAAGAAACGGTCTTTATCTCTCTTTTTTTTTTCATTTTTCACGTACTAATAAAAAAGTAGAATCCATTTTGGAATAAACTTATGAAAATGATAATTTAATTAAGGTTTTGCCTGCCCTTTTTTAAACTATGCATGCCGTTGAGCTATTATGGGATGCAGGTGTAATTTGATTAGTTTATGTGTAGGAGGGAGCAATTAATGACACAGACAAAAGCATGTGAGGATCTTATATGAGGACAGTGCAAAGGTCAAATCAACTAATTAATAAATGAAATCTGCTTCTAGATTTTACTTTTTTTATAATTTGTTATTATTATTTTTCCTTGATATGCATACACATGCCTTCGCTGGACCTCTTTTATAAGGGTTACAATAATATTTTTTATGTTATATTATCCCCTCTCAGGTATAGTAATATGGTTAAACGCTACAGTCCCCCATCTATGCTACAGAAAATTTTTCATGTATGTGACACAATAACATTCTACAATAATTTACTGTAGCATGACTAGTAGATTTTGGATCCTCCTATTATTATAGAGGAATAGATTCCGCATTAAATCTGGAAAATCTGTTTAAAAAGTGAAGTCTTTGTTCTTTGTTGGAGATATCTGAAAAGGATTTTCGAAGCGAGGTAAACAAAAAAATTATTCTAGACAGTGTTGATGTCCGTGAACACACAGTCGATAGGGTTGCGATTCTGGTCTTCACGTCGGCGACGAATAGGGGGAGGATGAGAGATGGGACCGACTCCTCCTCCGACTTTATGCCCGATCCTTAGACTAGAATTCTCGATCTTTCTGCAGAGACAAGAAGAAACACGTGGGAGGGCGGGGCTCATTTTCCCCGTGGTACCTCCGACGGTCAAGTTAGCTGGTGAGCTTGAGCGGGGTTTGAGGGAGAGTCCCTGGGCCATTTAGGTCCTTAGAGAATACTCTTATAGAGTTAATGATTCTTTTTTATGTTAAGAATCAAAAGGGGGAGTAAAATTCACCTCTTTTTTAGAAGCGGAGCCTTTTTTTCTACTTTTATAGCCCATTACCTGTGAAGGTTTGACCCTTGGGCTTGGATTATGCACAGGAAGCGGTTGAGGGGTGAGTTGGAGGCTAAGTCATCTTTCTCCTTCCAGGTATCGGCTAGCGGTTAGGAGGAAAGTCATTCAAATACAGGAGAGATGTGTCCTCTTACGCCTCGTTTGGTACGCGGGAATGAGGAGGAATGTAATGCAATTCCCACTTCTCATTCCCTCATACCAAACACACCTATATTTTAGATGTTGGAATGACCATTCCCTAGGAATGATCATTCCCACTATTTGTGGGAATGAGCATTCCAAATGAGAAGATAAGGAATGGTCATTCCCATTCAAGTGAGAATCAAAAACTAGTTAGGTATTTTTTAATTATATCCATATTAATAATAAAGAATGTTTGGGTGAGGCGCTATGCAAGTGGGCAATTTTAGATTGACAATTTAGGCTAGTATATCATTTTGCTATTTCGAAACTTATTATTTTAGTTGGTATTGTTTTATGGATTTTTGCTATTATGAATTGAGTGATTTTGATACTTTATCAAATAAGTTAATTTATATATCTAGAACTGTGGATTATGGATATCATTCTTTTTTTTGGACCTATGAAAGATACGATAATCTTTTTTTTTATTTTTCTTTAATTTTTAAGACTAAGAAATAGCGAGTATTGTTTAAAAAATATAAACGAAACATACACCTGATGGATAACACGAGCATTAGTATAACACATACCTAGATTAATATAACATATGCGTATATAAAATTATTTAGTTATTATCATTAATGTTTATTTTTTATCTTATTAAAAATCTATGTTGTTATAAGGGCATTATTAGAAAATGAGATTTCATTCTCACTTGTGTACTAGTGATACCAAACATGGGAATGGGAATGAGATTTCCATTCTAGCTTCATTCTACGAACGCACCCAAACAAGAGAATGAGAATGACCATTCCATTCCCACATGCAATCCATTCCATTCCTTCTTTCATTCCATTCCCAAGTCTGTCCATTCCCACGTACCAAACGAGGCGTTAGTATCCTGGATTCGACAGATGTGGCAAGACAGAGGATAGGCCCACTGTTCGGTTGTCTTTCCCCTCCAAATGACGGCTAGTGATCCTAGAGGGGAAGTTATTCGAGCCCAGAAGAGCATCATGGCGATCCCAGAGATGTGACTTGTGAGTGGAATAAGCGGCATATGCAGGGGATTTGTCAGAACAGAGATCTTGATGGGACTGATCAGTGTTGTGTTGATTGATATCTAAAATAAGCTTAGCTGGATCTTATCCCCTTAGTAGAGGCGAGTCGGTTCATGAGTTGTCTTTGTGATATCCCGACTCGACGGTCAAGTGAGATTCGGGTCGTGTGTATAGTCGAGACGTCTGCTTAAGGAGCCGTCTTAATTACGAGGGACCGACTGGTCCCACACTTCGAGTCGGTAATGATGACCCTTGGTCAAAAATGACTCGTCCGCTCGACTGGTCGATAGACTTGCCCTTGGCTGGGCTTTGGAGCCTCTATGCTAGTTTGAACCATGGCTTTTTTAAACCTATGGAGACAATCTTTCGGTATCTTCATCTTTAGATGGTAAATTACCATAAGAGACAGGTTAAGAAGTGACATTTTAAATAAGATATAACTCTATTTGGTAGCTAACTATCATTTTGAAATTAATGTTCAAAAAAACTTTTTTGAAATTTGGTTCGAAACTTGATTCAAATTTTTTTGAAGGATAAATGCTTCAAGACTCAAGAATAAAGCTATTTATCTCTTGAAACTCACGCCTCATCACTTAAAGCGTAACTTAAGTGCGCGTTTTCGCACGTCATAAATTATTTCTTTTTTAAAGCGTACGCTTTAAACAATATAAGAGGATATAAAAATTTTGACTAACATTGAACTATCTCGATGTATCTTCAATACAATCAGGTGAATATAAATAACAGAGATATGCTATGTAGCTTTGTTTATTATGATTTGAGTCTATACTTCATATATTTAAATTTTATTTACTGATTAGGACATAAATAAATCTATTTGTAAGTTACGATATGACTATATATTGTATTTTCAAAATGTTTACGAATTTTATAATTAAAATATTTAGACTCATAAAACTTACACCTCTCACTTTGAAACATACGCCTAACTTTATTAAGTGGTCTAATACTTCGCCTTGCGCTTCCAAGTTTTTAAGCATTGCTTTGAATGTACTAAAATTTTACTTTACGTTAGAATTTTTTGAGAGGGAAATGTTAAAAGATTGAGATGGCACGCATATATAAATGTTATTGTTGATGTATGGAATCACACAGTCAAATAAAAATGG